ATTTGTCTATAAGACACAATGCTATGAGATTTCTTTGCAGGCCATGGAGCTTCCCCTTGTTAGTTATAGTATAGAATGCATGTCGAAGCTACTTCTGTGTTGGCTTCACTACACAGACGTGGAAGCTCTGTCCATTATATATACTGTCAATGGCAAAGAGTTGGAGCATGGGTGGAGCTGAGGCAGGGTGAAGGCTGGTTACTGAAAACAGCCGCCTGTGACGGTGCTCACCTGTCACTCAAATCAGCCAAACCCTCAATTATGCATAACTTTAAGCCTTAATATAATTTATATGACTGAATTAGACCAAAAGTGTTTTTTTGTATCAGGCTGTGAACATTTTTATTTCTGCTGTAGAGTTGGGCATTGTAATATGGGGTCTTATGGAGATTGACTCACTGCTGGAGCCAGCCTCAAGTGTTTGTGGTGTCCTGATCTGTGTGACACAGCTTGATGACAACACCAACTGCTGTTTGGCCCACAGAGGTGCTGGTTGGCTCAGTGGACGCTCGGAAGGGATATCATCATACCTACAGTACTGATGATTCAGAGGTCGTGAATCAGACTCAGGAGGAAGATGTGACGCTAGAGTAGGTGTCCTTGCCATGATAATGATGTAAAGATGATGGAAGTTACAGTTACAGTAATGAAGACAATGATGATGCTGCGCTGCTTTTTTTTTTTTTTGATTGGTTTAATTAAGCTGAGATTTTTTATATCTGTTTAAAGAACCTTGTTGACCTGGAAGGATTACATTACATCGCTAAAGCAGTTTCAATTCAATTCAATTCAATTCAATTCAATTTTATTTGTATAGCGCCAATTCATAACAGAAGTTATCTCAGGACACTTTTCAAATAGAGCAGGTCTACACCGAACTCTCTATAACATTATCACAACAAGAAACACCCCCACACACAAACACACACACACACACACACACACCACAAATTAGCACAATGCACAGGCGGGGCACCTCAGCTGGCCTCCACAACCCCAGTTGACACAGGCCTGACCTCTGTTTTGTGTGTGTGTTTGTGTGTGTGTGTCTGTGGCTGGTTGGCCGTGCTCAGGGTGGGTTGTCACTGTGCTCACCTCTTTCTGCCAACAACAGGAGGGGTTGGGGGGGGGTATGTCTGGCATGGAGTTGAAGGCAGAAAGAGAGAGTGGCTGTAGGCTGACATGAGAGTGTGTGTGTGTGTGTGTGTGTGTGTGTGTGTGTGTGTGTGTGTGTGTGTGTGTGTGCGTGTGGTGTGTGCTTGTCCTTTTCTCCCAGAGTCGCCTGGTCAATTAAATTCACATTGAGGATAAATGATTTGCAAACGATACACAAACAAGTGAGTGTCTCCGTCCTTGAGCGGCTGTCCAAGATCAGGATCGGACCGTACAGGCGCGGGGTCAGAGAATGTTCACCTACAGTACTGACCAAGAATCAAAAATGTATCATATCTTTGTTTACGTATTTCCTCATCTACATCAGCAATACAGGGTTAGGGTTTTTTATTTTTTAACTATAATATAATGATAATAATGATAATATAGAACTATATAATATTAAAGTTAATATTTCACACTGATGTATTAAGCCGTTTGGCATATTTTAATAAATAAATAATTAAAATAATAAATAATAAATAAAAAAAAGGTAAAATCATATTTTACATGACCAAAATAAAGTAATGGAAAAGGTTATTTGTACCAAAACTACAGTACTGTGTACGTGTGAATGTTAAAACAACTTGGAAATTAACTTTTACTTCAAACTTCCTGTGAATATATATTTTTTTAAATATATTTTAACAGTTTAAGCAAGAAAGGGCCTAAGATATGTAAAAATCACATTTTGTCAAAAGCTGACTTCTTGTTTTATATTTATTTATATGATTCCATAAAATCTAAAGACTGGATGATCTTTGGAACATGCACTGCCAAAACAGCTCATCAGTCACATTGTTTTAGGCATCAGATTGCTCATTTGTGCTCCCTTATGTGACAATAGTGTAGTTGAGTCAAGACACGTCTATTTGTAAATGTCTTTGGTTTTGTTTGGTGTTGTTCTGCTTGGTGTGGTGGTGGATAGTCAGGCTTAGTCCAGTGGTCATGGTTTGGCACTACATGGACTAAAGTCTACCATCAAATAATGATGTATTTTTGTGCCACATTGACGAAAACCTTTAACAAATGCATGTGGTGGAAAGAAGAACTTGAGAAAGATTTGACACTGTAGATGTCTGTCCCTGTGGTGTCTTTGACATCCCCGGAGTCAGAGCACTGGTTGGAGCCGCTGTAAATCACCTTGTTGTATTCCCTATCGGCAATTCCCTGCGTTAGATGTAAAAGTGATCTGACTCTACAGCTGTGCTGCTGAACGAGAGTCTGTCACTGGGCAGCGTCTCTCATTTTTCAGAGGGAAATCATTAAAGTAGCTAAATAAAATAAAAATAAAATAATTGCCCCAAAAAATACAACCGATGATAGCAGATATTTGTCCAATTGCCCAACCCTTCTATATATAATAATTATATTAGGTAATTGTATAATATAGCTGCATCATTATCCTAACAACAGCATAACATCATAGCAACTAGAGCTTGTAACACAATATCAATTCATCAAAATTACAAAAAACAAACAAAAAACATCTTTTATCTAGTGGTTGAACATGAAAACAATCACTTTCAGGTTGGGAAAGTATAAATTAGCATAATTACTTTTTCTTAAAACAGTTGCAGAGTAATGTATTACAGTAATATCAGTGTCTTCTGGTGGACGCTATATATGACATTCTGACAAAAACTGCTCCTTCAGCTGACATACAGGAAATAACACACAGTGTAAATGGGTAGTATTGCAGTAATAAAGTATTTCATTTCTGGTGTTAACTACTTATCTCATACACAAAAGACTTTCAGACTGTGGTACATTTTTGTATGTTTGGTTTTTGTGTGTGTGTTCCTGTGCATCTGTGTGTGTGTGTGTGTGTGTGTGTGTGTGTGTGTGTGTGTGTGAATGAGACAGAGAGAGAGAGAGAGCATCAGGCATGGAGGAGACCCCCTTCTGGCTATCCTCTGAGGGGTTGATGATACTAAAGACACTGGAGAGCGCCCCGGCTGTGACCCACCCACCCACATACACACACATACACACATACACACACACACACACACACACACACACACAACCCTCCAACCATTCTGTTCTCTTTACAACTTTACAAAATAGGCTTTTAATTTAGCTGGGCGGCCGGGGCGTGTGGGGCCCGCCAGCATCAATCATCATGAGGAGGCTGAGGAGGCCGGGCCGTCCCCTGGGCCCTCTCACTGACGAGGATGTCCCAGGCGCGCACCGCACACACACACACACACACACACACACACACACACACTTCTTCCCTCTGCTCTTTTATACAGACACTCGTTCGCAAGACCTCAAGACCTTATCATTCTCTCATACACACATACACACTCATGCTCGTGCATGTGTATACACACACACACAGCCTCCATCCCCTCCAGGCTCTAGATGATGAGACCAGACTGAACACAGATGGGAAATTGAGGTAAATGTGGGAATCAAACATCTTTCCTGCTCTGTATTTTGATTTTCTTTATCATATTTAATCATAAACAAAAGCAGACTAAACCACATGACAAAACATACAAGTGTGTTCATTGTGTATGCAACCTAACCTGAGTCTACTTTCTAGATCATTTTTTGTATTTTTCTTTCTCTTTTTGTCATCTTTTTGGAATCCTTTGTACAATCATGTTCTCCTCTAAGCCAATTTGTATTTGCATTGCAAACATTAATTTCCATTTTGGGTTCATGTGCCTACCTCCTTTGTTAATTGGATTTGGATCATTTCCAAATGTTCAGAGTGTACCCAGCAATAATTATATTCCCAAAGAGATCTGTATGGATTTTGTCACAGACTTTGACGGCTTGTCGGCACGTCGCCGACGTGACAGTGATATTTTATTGCATGTGAAAGACGCCTCACATGAAGCGAAATGTCAGCAGGACATCATGTCTGAAACAGAGTGAGGGAGAGAGAGCACATTGTTGCCTTAAGACAGTGAGATATGATGAGTCTCCAGAGAATTAAGATTTTAACTTATTCTCTGGCATTAAGTCCTACTCATGTACTTGAGAACAGTTTTTAGGTATTGCTGAGTATTTCCTTTTATACACTGTAAAACACTGTGATATCTCATGGTGAAACCTTTATTTATAAAGCATTTTAATGGAGTTTATATGGAATAAAGTCGTTTTTTATATTACACACTGTAAATTGCACAGAAAACCACTGTCACAGTATTTATATGGTATTTTCATATGGCAACACTGTTTCTTTTGATGGTAAAATTAAAACTTGTATTTATATGGTAAAATGTGGATTAAAACTCAGCGGTACTAATATCCTTTTACCATAAAAGTAGAAAAAGTTCTACCATAGTTTTTAAGGTAAAGTTCTGGCAACCAGGACCATGAAAATAAGATTATTATTTTTGACAGTGTATAGTGTATTTACTCAGCTCCATTTCAGGATAAAATATTGTACGTTTTACTCGACTAATTTATTTGAGAACCATAGTCACAAGTAACCTCACAGATTAAAGGGATACTGCACAGTAATATCACATTCCCATATATTTGGTGAACTCACAAGAGATGGATTTAAACAAGAATGGTCTTAATCAAAGCAGCACAGAGTAAGACATCCTTACTTTTAGTCTCTTGTGTGGGACATGTTCCAAAAACACAGGATCCTACATTTGCCATAATGAAATTTGAGAGCATCTTTTGCATCTTTGCACTGCACCTTGCAAAGCCCTTGCTTAATCGGGGGCAAACAGAAAAGGTACAGAAGGGTACTGTACATGTAACAACACAAGTGGACAACAGTCTGTGGATATAGCTAGAGGTTGTTTTACTTCGATCTGTGCAGTCAATTGCTCCCATGCATTGAGTCATAACCTGTATTTGTCTCTATCTCACAGGAAAGGGCAGAGCCGTCTGTACTTCCTGAAAAGGCTGGGGTCCTTCAACATCTGTAAAAAACTGCTGCAGATGTTTTACCAGTCTGTGGTGGCCAGCGTGCTCTTTTATGCTGTGGTTTGCTGGGGAGGAAGCAGCAAGAGGGGAGACGCCGGTCGACTGGACAGACTGGTGAGGAGAGCTGGCTCAGTAGTGGGCACAGAGCTGGACTCTCTGGTGACAGTGGCAGAGAGAAGGACCCTGGACAAACTGCTGTCCATACTGGACAACGCCCACCACCCTCTGCACGACACCTTCACCAGGCAGAGGAGTGTGTTCAGTGGCAGACTGCTGTCCCAGTCCAGCTCCACCAACAGACTCAAAAACTCTTTCGTCCCCCATCAGACTGTACAACAGCTCTCAGTAAAGGCAGGGAGGACAACAGATAATAGACAATGGACAATTTCTGTCTGTATTTGCACTTTTACTTCCATTTGCACTCCACTCCATTTGCACGGTTTACTGTTGCACTGTTTACTGTAGCTACTGTTCATTTTATATATTACAAATATATATAACATTTCATATTTTATCTTTTATTTTGTCTGTAATTCTATTCTTAAGGTTAGGGTTTTTAATTTCTACTTTAATGTATGTTTAATGTATGTTTAAAGTATGTAAGGTATGTTTTGTATTTTGTATGCTACTGGATACTTGAATTTCCCTCGGGATAAATAACGTATCTATCTATCTATCTATCTATCTATCTATCTATCTATCTATCTATCTATCTATCTATCTATCTATCTATCTATCTATCTGTCTATCTATCTATCTATCTATCTATCTGTGTTTTTATGTAGTCTGGATTTCTGTTTATGTTCTTTCAACATTTTCCCTGAGGTTGCCCAGGGCCAATTTGGACAATCAAAACTTTTCTTCAGGAACCACAACTTCATTCATAAATTATCCAGTTGGCACCCAAAACTAGTGGTCAATAGGGCTGATAACACCGCTGGACACAGGAATTGTTGCAAATAGCTTGCCTCCTGCACACGTTGGCAGTGGTGGCATTACAGCTGCTAGCATACTGTAGACAACAGGGTCAGCAATGCCTGTGATTTGTTATCCGTGCTTAATTAACCACTGGCAGTCAGAGCTCATAGATATACAGACAGGCTGATGTTGTTGTTTTCAACAAGAAAAGGGTCACCTGATAGGGGTATGACAAATTAGGGAAAGACCCAATCAGGAAGTGAATGTGGATGTCTGCCTCATAGTCAAAAGTCTCAGTTTCCGCCCATCCTGAAATGCAATCAGCGTCAGCAGCATTTACAAGTCTCCGCTTTATAGGCGATCGAAAACATGTACGAATCGTGTGGAAGCTAGGCGTAGACGTGTAAATATTATGCGTTTTAAAATGAAACGTATTAGTGCAGATGTAGCCTACATCTCTCACCCTCTCTTTCTCGCTCTCTCCTCTTCCTCCCTGTGTCTCTCTACCTCTCTCTACCTCTGTTTTCCTGGTCATGTCTAATCAGATAAACTGAGCCGAGAGGTGCGATAAGGAAGGGGCTCCCTGGGGTGCTATGTCACTCCCTCCTTCCCTCTCCTCCCTCCTGGACCCCTCCTTCCCACCACCACCGCCGCCACCCGTACACCCTCCCCCCTCCCCCCTCCACCCCCCAGCTCTATCTTTTCTGCCGGTGGCGATGGTGGTTTTAGTATGCATAGAGCTGAGCTATCTGCTCCACTGCACCTTGACTCCCCCAACACACACACACACACACACACACACACACACACACACACACACACACACACACACACACACACACACACACACAGACAACCATATTCACACAACTCACCACCACAATATTCACCCATGCACATGTAGTCTCACCGCTACTTTACCTCGGTACACACAGCACCACCACACCTACATACACACTGCACCATTACTGATGCTGGGGAAAGGTTGTTCATAGACATCATAACAACAAGTCAAAAACATGCACTCACACACGCACACACAATAGGTGTGCCTCAGAAGCCTTGTATTTTAAGTCAGAGGTTGTGATCTGTTGCTCAAAGGAATCTGAAAGGAAGTGGCAGTAAAGTGGAAGAGGGTCTTTCACATGTCAGAGGTCTGTTCTGTTGATGTTAGTTAGTTGTTAGTTGACTCTCAACCCTCCCACTCTTTCTGTCTGTCTGTCTCTCTTCTTTTCACTCCCTTTCTGGGTATTACCTTTCTGATAATCTGATCATCATGACACCAAACTATTAAAGAAGTAATGTGTGGAAGCATTTTGAATTACACAACAGATGGACAAATCGTTTGCTATCTTTCAAAAATGCTACTGCCTTACAGTAACATCAGGTATTTGATGATTAGCCTACTTGGGTTATATTAGAATTCATTAGAAGGCAGTAAAGTTTTGTCATCTTATGTAAGTTGTTTTTTGATTTATAGTACACAGGTTCAAGTGCAGTAGGAATAAAAACTCCTTGTTGTATTTGCACATGTAATTTTAGCATTACTGTTGTATTATGGTGTTTTATATATTGTATGAACAGGAAATAGTTTTGTATTTGTTGTGCATTCCGCAGCCACCGTAGTTTCTCATTTGCGCTTGGAAGGGGAAGGTGAAACGAGGGAGTCTCGATCTGCAACTACACCGCTACATGCTACTCAATCCTACACACTGGACCTTTAACATGCATAAACCTACATAACTGTTTCTGTCCTTCAGCACAGATAAAAGCGCTTCACACATTAAAGACACTGATGACAAGGACAGTCACCATGTCATGTTTATTCTGTGGATGGAATGGGTCAAGCCCAAACTTTGTCACAGCAAAGTAAATTGGAATTGTCAGGTGGAGTGATGTGTTGTGTGTATGTGTGTGTGTGTGTGTGTGTGTGTGTGTGTGTGTGTGTGTGTGTGTGTGTGTGTGTGTGTGTGTGTGTGTGTGTGTGTGTGTGTGTCTGTGTGTGTGTGCTGGGGGAGGGAAGCAGTTGCCTGGGCAGCTAGCGGCCGGTGATAAGACAAAAGCAGGTTGTTTGCTGTCTCTTTCTGTGCTGCCTGGCCATTAAAGGTAACCTGCTATCTGATGGAGGCCAGGCTGGACGCAGACCTGTGTGACTAGCCAACTGGACACACTCTGTGTGTGTGTCTGTCTGCTCCCACGTCCACTCTTTAAACCTGTAAATCCATGGTGTGTGTGTGTGTGTGTGTGTGTGTCTGTGTGTCTGTGTGCATTCAGACTTTATAACTGCCTGTAAACATGCTCAGCCAGTGGAGTGGAGCTCTAGCTATCCTCCCGTAGAATTGCTTTGTTTTGTTCCTCGTGAGTGGGTGTGTGTGTTGTTTTGGCACTGACTGGTCAAGTGTCTCTTCCCATGCATCGACTGTGTGTCTGTGCTCAGCCCAATATGAACCAATGCAAAACATCAGCACTCTAGCCAGTAATTCAGTCACGCTCAGACCTGGTTATGTATGCCATGCAATTCATAATCCCGTGCATTTTGTCTAGGGATGCCCAATATGGATTTTTTTTTCAGCCGATACAATAACTGATTATTAACCTGCTTCATGGCCGATCATTTTAAGCATTAAACATTTTTGTATTTCAAAAAGAAGTGAGACTGAGATTGAAGAGATTGGAGATTGACTTACTTTTGAAGCGGGCCTCAAGTGGCTGTTAGAGGAACAGTTTTTGGAACTTCCATGTTGGCTTCATTTTTCAGCCATGTAGGTTGCCGCTTGCTTCCACCCAGTGCATGCTTGAAAAGGCTCCATTGCCCTGAGACCCTGAAAGTGAAAGGAAAATGAATAAAGTAGTGCTGAAATTGAAAACTTACATAAAGAGCTGGCCAGTAAGGCCTGAGTGTCTCTTAGCATCAGGTTGATGCCATTACTAGTGTCATAAATCAGTCAAACCAGAATACACGGACACCCTAGAGCTGCAGCTGTGTTGTCAGAAACAGGTGATCGATATTTGGGAATGGGAGAGATCTGCTGTCTCAAAGACAACCAACAATTTTCCCTTTGCTCATTGTGTTCTTGGAAAGCTCAATACATCTGCTTGAGACAGAGTCCATCTCAAGTGGGCCGTACAATATGTGATTGACAGGTCTATTCATGAACCCTTCCGACACCTGATGGGATGAAAACCCCAGCTTTCAGTTTACAGACCACTCTTCAAATTTCTTCTAAACATGTCTAAAAATCAGTGGCTGGATAAAGTTGTGGTCATGCTTCATTTGAAATACACAATGCTCAGTTTTAAGTTGTCCATGCAGTTGAGGAGTTTCCAGAAGCAGCAGTAGCACCAGTCTCCTATGTGCCACTGTTCGATTCTCAGTGAATGTACTGCACATGTAAATCTCTGGGTGAACACGAAAGCTCATGCGATTTTTTAGTCATTAGGCTGGTGAGGTGAGGCATTTTATAACCTTTAAAGAACATAAATATTACTTGAGAAAGTTAGGCGCATACCAGTCTACATTTCACTAGATAAAAAAAAAAGTCAATAAATAAAACGTATCACACACCTCTGTGTGCACCGTTCCAAACATCAGTTGAACCAAAACTGAGCCTGCAGTGATGTGAGGGCATATAGAGTTCCTGCAGACAGCAGAATCCAGGCTTCTACTGACCAGAACTAAATTCTAAACCAAACACACACACCTACACACACACACACACACACACACACACACACACACACACACACACACACACACAGCAGAGAGCTTGGCCATTGGCAGCAGCTTCTTTGTAGCCCGAGTAACTGCGGCTGCTACTGGCTGGGCCCAGTGCAAAGCTGCTTAACAGGACTCATCTGGGATCAGTGACAGATGGACAACCTGTCCTGGAGGCCTGGGTACCACAGGGCTCCAGGAGACAGGTAAACCTGGTCAGGGCCCCACAGAGCCCCTAGGACGCTTACAGTGTAATCGCAAGATTTAACAGTAGAGGTGCCATGCACACACATACTGAACATGAGCACAAACACACACCTGCAAACAAGCGTTGTCTGACAATACTATTCACCTACACCGTGACAAATGAGTCTGGGTCTGTAAGTTGGGTCCAGGAGAACCTCCAGGGTGCCTTGAGGGGACTTTGAGGTGTCTACATGTGGCTGCAAGAGAATTTAGTTTCATTTCAGCACAATTTAATTCTCTGGGGTGGAAGAAAGTACATGAAAAGGAATAGTTTCATAGGTTTTACTTCAATCACCTTTATGATGTCGGTATATTATCAGATCATTCTGATGTTGAGGTAATGTAGCACTTTAATCCACACAATGTCAGTGTGGCAAATTGTGTGGTTTTGACTATATCTAACTCTAACTGCCATAACATATTTAACTTGATTCTGATATCAGGTCATTATTCACACATGAACCCTTGAGGGCAACATGCTATGTCATCACATTAACAATAAAGGCTGCAAGTGTGACTGTAGGAAAGCATGAACTTAGTGTCAGTGCTTTTAGGTTTCTGAAGTGATGCTTTAAATTTACCTGTT